GAACATTTCTGTAATGAAGGGATGGCCATGGTCAAGAGCTTGGAGGAGACACAATTCCCCATTTTTAGGACTTCCAAATCCAGATGGCTACAACAATTTTTAGTGATTTCTTAACTCTTCAGAGGGGTCGGTTGGGGAAAGTTGTTTGGGGGGTGAAAAGCTCCCCAAAGCAGGATTATACAACCTTGGAAAAGGATTCTTTCTTTTATTCATTAACCTATTGCATTTGTTACTCCATAAAGAAGAGATGATGTACATGATGTATAATCACAACAGCCCTGCTAGGAAAATTCAGCTAAGAGACTGTGGCTGCCTTGAAATCATAAAGTGAATTTTCAAGCTACGGGAAGGCTTTGAAATCACAGTGCAACATTTTATCCATCAAAATATATTATCAACTATTTTCTAGTCACTGTTTCTGTGCCCTTATGATCTGTATAACTAGCAGGTAAAGTTTTCCTCATTGTTTTGTGACAATGCTTGCTTGCCATACACTTATTAAAAGCTTAGGAGACCTACATGGGAGATGCGGTGACTCTATATAATAAAAAGGATCAAATCAAGGGCACTGGTAGCATAGAATGATAAGAGTCTGGGAACAAAAAGATAACAGTGTTTTAGACCTTGCTGTGTTTTATACTCTGTCCTGCTTCCCTCTCTATAGTTTCTTCTGAACAGGCTATAAACATTTTTCTTGGAAAACCCAAAGCTTAAAATGTTAGCCATGAATTTGCTTGCCTTGAGAGTTCGGGCTATTTTTGCCCAATAACTGAAGAAACAGCTGCTGTAAAGACAGAAAACGGAGGTGGGGATAAAGTGGAAGATTGCTCCAAACGTCTTTCTCTTTCACTGTCTCTCTTGTCATCATGGCTACAAATCTGAAAAGGTCACAAGAGAAAATGAGTTTAGTGATCTCAGCCTGGGGCCCAGACCAGCCTTTATGGAGCATGTGAAATTTCAGCAAAGGCAATGAAGTAAGACTGCTCTTGCACACCAGGGCTGACTTTCCATTCCTCAGAAACAAGTCACTTCACACAACTGAGATGAAACAGTCAAGGTTCGGTAGCAATCTCGTATGGGCTGAGTAGGGTGCTGTTGACATATCACTACCAGTTCTTCATAGCTGATGTTTCTGAAAAGGTTTTGCTATTGCGTTGATCAATGTCTCCAACAATTCCCAGTGGAAAGCATGGGAATCCTTGACCTCCCCCTTCCAATCAACAAGTCAGGTATTATTTGCTTGACATGCCACACCATCTTAGAGCAGGTTTCCTCAAACTTTTAAAGAAGAGCGCCAGTTCACAGATTCTCAGACTGTTGAGGGGCTGGACTATAGTTTGAAAAAATAGGAACAAACTCCTATACACACTGCACATATCTTATTTAGAGGAACATCAAGTGATTAATATTATTCACATTGTTTGGTGATCATTGTCCAAGTAGGTTCAGCACAAACCACTCTGCCTCTTTCTCAGCTAACAATAGGCCAAAACAATGGAGGCAAACTTTGAACTCCTTCAAATATAAGTTACAGGGGACAGAAATAGCCTCTGGTCAATGATTCTTCATGAAATTGTGAGAAAAACGCCCACACATTCTGGGGATTAACTGTAGTATCAGTTAATTACTCTGATTTAGAATCTGGATATATTTTTAATAGAATGGAAATATATAGCTGTATAGAGAGAGGACTGTTTGTTGTTTGCTAAACCAAACCTTTAAAAATAAGGTCAATTCCCCATATAGTAAAATAAAGTAGGAGAGAGGGAAGATCAATGGCACTGAGAGGCAAAGTGGATATTCATTCAAAGTTAGCAATTCCTAATGAAATTATAAATGGTCAGGTCGCTTGCATTATATGGTTCTGCTATCCCTCACTGGTTTCAGTCAATGAGATCAAATAGAACTTTACCAAATTACATCACCAGATGGTCTGACAGTAAGCATACGATATTGTTTTATCTATTAAGTAATTAACATTTATAATGAACGAAACATAAAACAATATTGCATCTCATTTTACATTTATTGTTATTCAGTATTCAATAAGGTGGGAAAATCCCACACAACAATTCCTTCCAACTTTGAAAAAAGGGGTCATGGTTTGGCAATCTGGCTAATATGAAAGCTGGGTTTTCTACCCTGCGACAGATATCACAACCACCTTAGAAATTGTTTTCACTGTTGTAGTAAAAAGCTACCAATAAATTCTCCCATAATTTGTATTTCAATTCTGTATAAAGAAATAGGCATGCCTTTCCATCTTAGCTTGAGCAATAAAAATTTCCTCCCAATATTTAAACAAAACACAGTATATTTGCTTCATTAATCAGTTATTTTTTCACTCATTGCCTTTAACATTTGACATAGTCAAACTGGTTAAAAGTACTAACCAGCATGAACTCCAACCTTCCTTAGAATATAAAGGCATGCTTACAAGTCAAATGTAATTCTAAATGGTGTGAATGAATGGATATTCTAGTAACTGGACTTTCTCTGGGATTCATTAATGCTGCATAAACAGTATATGCAGTAGACTAGGAGTGTGACTTTTCACTTATTTCATCCCTGCATGCAAAATGAGTAATTTCAAGATTCTTTTCTCTGTTTTGCGAGAATACAGTGGTCTCTATAGCTTTTCCAAGAACTGTACTTGCACTTTTGAACTTTGTTGGGGGAAATTATTTGTGGAAAAAATTCACAGGATCCTTTTGCACACAGTATTATGAGTAGTTTGAGCAAAACACCTACAAACACTCAGAAATAGTCAGAAACATTGTTTCTTGTTCAGAAGAGAGGGAGGGTGGCGATCTGATCTCACCAGAAAGGGAGTTCTATAGCGGGGGGGGGGGGGGGCAATCAGTGAGAACCCCCTCTCTCTCATCCCCACCAATCGTGCCTGTGACAATGGTGGGATGGGGAGCAGGGCCTCGGAGGAGGATCTTAATCTCCGCTGTGGTTCATAGGGGGAGATGCATTCGACAAGTTAATTGGGCAAGGGCCATTTAGGGCTTTATAGGCCAAATCCAGCACTTTGAATTGTGCCCGGTAGCAAACTGGCAGCCAGTGGAGTTGACATAACATGGGAGTTGTATGCTCCCTGTATACCACCCCAGTTATTAACCTGGCTGCCTCTTGTTGGACTATTTGAAGCTTCCGAGCAGTCTTTTTACCGGGACAATTTAAAAACAGCTGAAAATTTGAATGATAGAGAATTTATTGGGATGGTGTCTTTCTAATCCAGGACACTAAGAGGATATCTGTCAGCTTTTTTATTGAGAATGCAAATATTAACAAATATTCTTCATACCCCTGGGGTAGACTCCAATTGAACTTAAACTTTAAGTGATAAGTAAATAACTATCTGTACTCAATTTTGTTCTGTAAAGAAGAATGTGCACTTTTGCTTGATTATTGGGTCACAAAATGCTTGCTCTATAAATAAAGGAACCAGCAATATTAAGAAGCTGGTTTTCCAAAAGCTTTAAACAAATTGTCTTACAAAGAATAAGGGGAGTGTATTTTAAAAGTCATATGAAATTATTGGGTTTTGCAGAATTTGAAAAGGCAATGACAACTTAACTGTTAGCAAGTAGGATGGAAAGCGTTGTATGTGAGGAAAAACAAGGAATATATTTTCTTAGTTTTCTAGACAGATGCTTTTATCAGGATCTGGGAATGGGGCCTGAATGAGTATTTGGGCCTGAGGAATTTGATCATTACTGGAAATTGGTAGTTCGCAAGCTTTAGAATTGCACATGTGATGGCAAGAAACACATGGGTCATTAAAAAATAAACATAAGATGCATACACTATACAGGATATAGATATATTGTAGCAAGTAGCATACAATGAAATGGGAAAACACTAAAGTACCATTATAGATAAAGAAAGTAATCATTGGTGCGAATCAGTTAATACAACATATAAATAGACTCTGCCCTGACTTTCATGACTCTCACTTTCTGCAAACTGAGAAACAATGTCACCTGCTGGGACCATCTGGACGAGTGAAGCATTTCACAGTTGACTGGACCTTCATGAACAGGCAGAATAGTATGTAAGGAGGTGCATCTTCAAACTTTATGTAGTCATTTACATTTTGATTGGACATTACTTGGGAGATCTAAGCAAAAATTATTGGTGATATAGAAATGCTTTAAATAATGGAAAAAAATAAAATATAGAGATCTAACATGGTATATGGGACTACAATTCTGGAGACCAGGAATTGGTGCTCAGTTGGCCTTGAAACCTTCAGCATAACCTTGGGCAAGACACATACTCTTAGCCTCAGAGGAAGACAATGCAAACCTTTTCTTAACAAATATTGGCAAGAAAATCCAATTATAGGGTTGGAAGCAATTTGAAGGCACACAAGAGTAGTATCACTTATCTCTCGAATCTAACCTGCTGCAAACTCCCTAGAGGAAAGGAAGACAGAAAAGTAATGTCAAGTGAAACAATCACTGAGATACTTTTCTGGGCTTTTGGGAAGTTTCAGATACATTGCCAATTGTATAGAACAAAATATTTGATTGGATCATATGGATATCCTCAAAGATATTGGTGCATAACATGGTCATAGTAGCTGAAGATAAAGGGGAGTTCCAATAGGACTCTTATGTACTATGACAGTTGGAAAAGGCTAGATTGGATTGATATTTTCTTCTGATACAAAAAGGCTCTAATTATGTGTTCAAAGTTGTGAAAAACAAAAAAAAATGCTTCAGGGTTTGTTTGGTTGGTATTTTTTTTGGGGGGGGGGATAGGGAAACTCATAAAGTGTGTCTATGTCCAATTGTATGTAACAGAGATGTATTTCTGGCTGAGATTAGAAAGCCATTTTTCAGTTTTGCCACAAGGCAGCTTGAATGCGAAGGTAAAGCTCAAACCAATTGAGCATGTGGTTTACCTTGGCTGTTTGCCAGAGTAATGAGATTGCAACACTCTGGAAACCCCTTTTTATTTCATGTGTGCCTCTATCCTTCACACCGAAGGCTCAACAAGCATGTAACCATCTCCGGTTCAAGAATGAAGTTTATTAATAGAATGACTCACTTAGGATTTTTTCTAGATCTTTGAAAAACGGGTAAGCACGAGATCACTGTGGCTGGCTTTCATTCTCTGGGGTACTTAAAATAAACAGGAAGGAAGGAAGGAAGGAAGGAAGGAAGGAAGGAAGGAAGGAAGGAAGGAAGGAAGGAAGGAAGAAGGAAGGAAGGAAGGAAGGAAGGAAGGAAGGAAGGAAGGAAGGAAGGAAGGAAGGAAGGAAGGAAGATAGATAGGAAGATAGATAGGAAGATAGATAGGAAGATAGATAGGAAGATAGATAGGAAGATAGATAGGAAGATAGATATGGAGTGGGGAAGAACACAGTGAAGGCTGCTTAGTATTCACCTCTCCACATCGGCTCTTTTTCTACATAAAGCAACGCAGCTGAGAACTGCATATTTGGAGGCGATTGGGTAAACTGTAGGGGTGACACAGATATCTGAACTGGATTGGGATTGTGTAATAGCGGGTCTATTTTAACCTTTGTTTTAACCTTTGTTCTTAACTTCTGTGGTATGAAGTTTTACCTTGGCACTTTAATGATGACATTTTTAATTATCTTCAACTTTTAACTTCATCAAGTTTTAATTGTGTTTTAATGTATGTTCACTATTATAGGAGTTTTAGGACAGTGATTTGTATCTATTTGTGTATTTTCTTGTTTTTGTCTTTTACTGTTGATATGGTCAGTGGACTAATCAATAAACTTTACTACTTCCTCTCCACATACATACACGCGTACATATTCTTCCACTTACGCCACACTGCTCGATTCACATTTGGAAAACCATCCCTAACATATATTAAAAATGATGCTCTGTGAAAAGGATTTTAAGCAATGCTCATTTGTCTGGAAGCATGGATGTGTGGCTGAAAAGCCATCATCAGTTCGTTTTGACAAAAAGGTAATAATTAAAGTCTTTTAACTCCCCGTCTCCCCCTCCTGCACATCATTTGACCTATGATAAAACAGCCTATCAAATTTCCATTCATTATTTCTACCTGAAGGGCTTTGCTAGCTCACATATATATAAATCTCCATTTGTCAGCCTTAAACTATACCTGTCCCACCTGCTACGAGGACTCATTGCTCTTGTCCCTTAAAAATTGCCAAATACCGTCAAGTGACATAACCTGCCTTCAGCCTCCAATGACCCATGCAATCAATAATATTTGTAACCTGTAAGTGCAGAGTTAAGTAGAACAGAAGTCGTGCACTCTCCTCGTTAACCACATTGAGCTGTGATACTGCAACCTGCTCCCTCGTGCCTCCTGTGATCAATTTTAATCTCTGGTCCAGGAATAAAAGAGCACCGAGGCTCCTGTTTCTGGATTCATCTCAAAAGAATGCTATAGATTTGTATGTCTGCAGAGGGAATGAAAGATTTAATTCAACCAGGAGCTGAAGGAAAGAATGCATCTAAACTATCATTCCTTCTCATTACCCTTGGTAATTTTTAAGCCTTTGGTTGACAATATTAAATACAGCAAAATACACAGTGATAGGTTAAAAGCAGAGCCTTGGTTCTTTCTTGCATACCAGGGGCTCACAGTTGCTCATTATAACAATTGTGATTAGTATAACTGTCATCACAGCTGGATTGCATTTTTGCATCATAAACACTGGGTATCTGCAATGTGTAGGCTGGCAACTAACATGCAACCGAAAATAGGGATCCACAATGCATTGGAAGAAAATGGAATTTTCAATAGTTTCTCTTTAGAAATGTAAAATCTGTATAATTAATGTGTTACTCAGGCATTTCAGCTGCTACTGTGTTTACTGTGTGTATGCATACACCATCCATTCTCTTTCTCTGCCAAGTGCAAAAGCACAGAATCATAAATGTATATTTTCTGGACAATTTCAAACATTATGCAGATATTTTCTATCAAGAATACTCAACAGGGAACTGCAGCCAATCATAGCATGACAGATATACACCAAAACTATCTAATATGTAAGGAGGAAAATGCAATATATGAAGGAGCTCTTTAAGAAAAGAAAAGGCATATTGTCTATAGTTTTTGTTTTTAAGCAACAACAACTATGGACAGAATCTAAATTTAGTCTTACTTAGAGAAGATCCACTCAACGGAATGGGAATTTTTATCAAATTAATTTCAGTCCTCTCTCTATACATCTATAGTCGCCCCGCCCCTGCCCCCCAAAGTACATGATGGATAGAGGTGTAAGATCTCAAAGTTGTATTTACTAGACACATAAAGTACCTGCATTGGTAAGGTGGTTAGGTCTGGTCATGTGGCTATTTCCTCATGCAATCACTCACTTCTATGAGTGGGCCAAAGGCAGAAAAGGGATGGGAGGAGGAGAGAAGGATGATGCATAGGTTTTTAGGATGAAGTGAGAGAGTTTCATTGTCACAAGAGCACTTGCTGCAGCCTCTTGTTACTACCATTGTCTGTTTCTCACTACCATCCTGTCATCCTTTCCCATCTCTCTCAGGCCCCTTCTACACTGCCATATAATCCAGATTATCAAATCAGATAATCCACATTATTCACTTTGAACTGGATTATAGGTTTGCACTGTCATATAATCCAGTTCAAAGGAGATAATCTGGATTTTATATGGTAGTGTAGAAGGGGCCTCAACCTTCCCTCTTCCTTTCCTGATCCCTCCATCCACCTCAGAGACACACACACCACCTGCTGTTCTTGTACAATTTTACAAAAAAATTAAAAAGTAACGTGGGCACTCCGCAGATGATGGAATGTCAACAGGATGTTATTTTTTTTAACTAGAAATGGGCAGAGGAGCATCCTGTGTATTGGGCTGAGTAAGTTCTCTGTCTTTTTCCTAGATGAAATATGACAAGAAGGCATTATCTCTCGCTCCCCTCCCCCTTTTGTGATTAGGTCTTTTGACATCTGTTTTTTCCAGGTTAATTAATTCAGAATAGTGTTGTCATAAGATAGAAAGATCTATGTATTGTCGAAGGCTTTCATGGCCAGAATCACTGGGTTGTTGTGTGTTTTACGGGCTGTATGGCCATGTTCCAGAAGCATTCTCTCCTGATGTTTCACCTGCATCTATCAATGAGGATGCCTGCCATAGATGCTGGTGAAATGTCTGGAGAGAATGCTTCTGGAACACAGCCATACAGCTCAGAAAACACACAACAACCCAGAAAGATCTATGTTTAGTAAAAACAGAAGTGCACTTCTCCTGTTTGTACATGTGATACTTGTGTGCCAGCATATCTCCTTGTGGAAAAAAGGAAACAACAATGCAAATTATCAACCATGTGGTGTTGTGTGCCTGATCAGCACTCAGTTGGGTGCCCTTGCTAGGAGATTAAGGCTTGTGAAGAAATTTCCATATGAAGTCCAGGGGATGCTGGCTTCTCTTTTCTCCCTCAGTGGCCTCAATAGTACTACTCAGTGATACTAAAGTATGCATTTTACTGAAACTATGCAACAAGCTTTACAAAGGGTAAGAAACTTTCTGTCATTTGGATGTGCCAGTCCTAGATTCCAGCTAGATCTGGTGCTATCAATTGTTTATATTCTATCCATGTCAGAAGAGACACAATCCAGGGACACAAAGTGAATTCTGACATACAGGGACTGAGATGAAGTGGCATGAATTGACTTCTGCAAAACCAGCTAGTCAATAACCTTGAACTTTATTCCCCCCTCCCCATAATATGCCAGATTGGAAGAAACTCCAGGAGGCAAACCACTGTTGAATTTGTGTTTATGAGTTATTTTTTAAATGTAGGAAGTCACACTCATTATTTAAATGCCTCATAATTTTTTGTGTTTAGATTGTGGTGGTTCTGATGTCAGAGGAGTGGTGGTTTCACCCTGGGTTAAGTCTCATCTTTCAATAAGCTATCTAAAGTATTAAATTATCTGGAGGAAACGTTCTTGCATAGATACCTTTAAAATCTATACTAAAACCTATAGTGGCTTTATTTCTACATTGACATGGGTATCACTATTTTTGGATCCTTACTGATAAAGATTGAAATCTTCAAAGGTCCTACTAACCTCAAAGTTATTGCTACAAATACTCTGAAAACTCAGCAGAAGCCAAGACGTATACAAAGAAAAGAAAATGTTCCAGAACAATCTCAATCAATGAGACTACATCACTGTATTGATTGGTAAGGTAACTGGAAGTATCTGTGGTTACTGTGATGTATTTATTAAAACCCCTGTTAAAATTAGGATAGACCTTTTAATATGTCTTTAATATGGGGTGGGGAATGCATTTGGTCCCCGAGTTGAAGATGTGCCCATCAGAGGAATTTCTCCCACTAATAAAAACAAGAAGTGTTTAATCAATAAATAGTAAAGCTGAATGATACACTCCCAATAGGCCCCTCTTAACAAGGAATCTTCTGTGAAATATTCACTCCCTGCCTACAGTAGTGGCCATTGTTTCTAATTCTTTCACAATAGTAGGTCCACCATGCCTGCCATTAGTGCTAATGTAAAATGAATGAGCATTTTACATCAAGATTGGTTGGCGCATTTCTTCAAGAAAAAGGGTTAACACCACAATAAGCTTTAGCAATGTAAATGATTTCCCCCATGCGGCTGCAGATCCACACCAAGTTATTCATTTAAAAATTATTAGCATATAAAAACATGATTATCTCTGCAGTTAATGGACACTTCGCTGACAACCTTTTGGACCATTACAATTAAGGAAGGCAGCATCCTGTTAATGAAGTTACAAAACATATTGTTTATTAAAGAGCAAATTATATCTTTAATTAACTTCAAATATTGTAATCCAGTGAAAAATTCTTTCATAAACTGAAATGTCTTTTAAGTACTCAAGGCCACAGTCAGTGGTGTAATTTTAGATGATAATTTCAAGCTGTATTTTTTTTTTTAAAAAAAAAAATTAAAATATACTTTTGGCTGAGATATAACTGGTATAACAAAAGGCTACAATGTGTTTTCAAGAAACATTACACAGCAAGGCATGCCACTGCTGACAAACATCAGAATATGCCACTTGAAATACTGAAATGTTATTAAAAGTGGACCTATCTACAT